AAATTCTATCATCACAGATGTTATCACATGAACAGACTTTTTTTGCAAAAATTGAGCAATATTATTTTGCAGTCTATATTTATCATAAACAATGTGTCAGGAATATTTTTACTCTATGAGTATTCATGTACATAGATTTTTTATGTATTTATTAGTGCATTATATTTATATATAATATAGGAGTGCATTTGTTATAATCATAAATAAGGGTGAGGGAAGAGAGATGAGGAAGGGGAGGAACAGCAGAATTCAATAGACCAAATTTTGATGAATGCATGCATTAATATATAATAATGAATCCCACTTTATATAGAATTATAATGCACCAATTAAAATGATAAATACATAGAAGGACGACCAACAGAATAAAGAAAGGGGACCAGTGGGAGAGAGGAGAGGTGGGAAAGGGTAAATACTGGGGATTAAAATGGAGACAAATACCTTCCTAGGCAAACACCCAAACAGCTAACAGGACACAACCCTAGGTCAGTCAGGCATAGGCCTAGCTGTCAGAAGAGACACCAGCTCTAAATACCTTGTACCACTATTGAGTCTCAGCTGCGTCTTCCTTTGCTCAATGAAAAGGGGAATTTTGACAATTCACCAAAATATGATTAATTTTTCAATATGTTCAATGTATCAGTTTAAAAGTTTATGAAGATGGATATAGTATAATAAATAAGTCAACAGTTATTACATTCTTAGATTTTCCAAAGAACACTGCAAATAGAGTGTTTATGAAATTATCTGTCTGGAGAAAACAAAATCATGAAGTAATACAAGCCACAGACTAAAATGCAAATCTCAAAAGGCAATTAACTTATTAGACTTATAGTTGAACATCTTACAATTGAACCTATTTTACAGATAATAAGAAGCAGTTGAGAATATAGAAAATTGTTCATTTGGAAAACATTTATTTCATTATCTTTTCTGTGTGGATCATTTTTTAGGCACTGTAAGACACAGAAAGTAAGTCAACACAAATTCTACCTTAAAGCGTTTCTTTTGAACTAGATAAAATACATATTTCTACTTCCAAAGGTTATATATGCTGTTCATGGTAGAAACATGATACAATTTCATGAAGTAGAGTTAATATAACTTTAAGTAAGAGATGGTTAAATTCACATTTAACTGCATTTGGGGGATGGATGTGAAAAAGGGAAATCTATGTCCAAGTAATGACATTTCTCTTGTTCTTTGAAGAATGAGAAAATTTTGAAAAAAACTTATAAGTGGGAATTTTAGAACAATTACTCCAAGTGGAGGAAACATTAACCAAAAAAGCATCCATGATAGTTTCAAAGCAGCGCAGTGGATTAGACAAAGGGGAATGAAGGGAAAGGAGGGGAGACAGAAAGACAGTGGAATGATTTTAGCATAGCTTTCCTATGTATATAAATGAATACACCACAGTGAATCCGTACACCATGTACAACCACAAGACTTGGATACCAATTGGAATAAGATTTCTCCATGTATGTATAAATATATCAAAATATACTTTATTATCATGTATAACTAAAAAGAACAAATAAAAAAGAAACTCTTAGAAACAATATGGGAAAATTCTGAGAAAACATATGGAGCTTCAAGAAAGTACATTAATGAATATCATCTTGTTTTAAACTAAATTAATTATAATAGGCTTACTAAGGTATAATTTATAAACAAAGAAATACAAATATTTAATATTTGATCAGTTTGAACATGTGCAAACACCTGTAATACCCTTGCCACAAACAAGGTAATAGAGTCAACAGCTGTGTGTGACAAAGTAGGTTATGACAGATGGATGGACAGATGACATGGTCTTGATTTTACAGATGTTTTAAGAAGTAATTAAAGCTTTGAGTAGGGGCATAAGATAGGAGCTTCTGTTTAGTACATCATCTCCTTTATCCTACAAGCCTGCCTTCACTTGACTCTATCTTCTCAAGCAAATCATTTTTTTTCCCATCCTTTCAAAATACTGTATGGTAACATCTCATCAGGCTAGACTCAAATAAGGCGGAGCTATTGATTTTCCTCCATTCTTTTCTCTTGGTCACATCTATCAGGAGTGTCAGATATGAATGCTTATCTGAGCATACAAACTGGATACTGGTAGGACCAACCTTGTTAGTTCAGTTGTTACACTGTGCATGTAGCCAGGGACCACAGCTTTTGGGGGAACTGATTTGCTAAATTGCACTTGTTGCTTTCTTTTATGATAGATTATGACTTTTAAAAGAGCTGATTCGGGTCTTTAATAAAATATAGAGAAAAACTAGGGCCAAGGAATTACCCCAAAATTAAATACATACATATATATATATATATATGCCTATGAATGTATGCATACATATTTAATATATTTAATTTGTCTTTGCTTTAGGATGATGGCAACTGCTGCTCAAGTCACTGAATAAACCTTTTTTTCTAAAACAAATTTACATCATTAAAACTAATTTCTTTATTTATTCATTAATAAGAATTCATTGAGCTTTTTGACAGAAACTACAATGGTTTGTAAAGGATCAGATAATCCACACTCAATCAGCCTTCAAAGAGACTATATTCTCCCTCTAAAAAATGGTTCCCAAGGAGATTAATTCTTTATTCTTTGCTGTTTATAGATAAACTCCTTACCATGGGAATTTGTGATTTCATTTCACCAATTAATAGCAGAAATAACTAGGTTCTTGAAAAGAAATAATTGCAAAGAGAATGTCTATCTCTATTTGTTACCACTTAGACAATGCAAAGCAGAATTGGCAATTTTAATACTAATTATGACAATGATTCAGTATCCAAAGAGGGAGCATCAGAACTTGCTCAGCTTTGATATGGCTTACAATGCAGGGATCTGTGAGATTCATTTGGCTAAGTTGAGCTTCATATTTAAAGATTCAAGGGAATATAAAGCTTCCCAGTGATGTAAAAAAAAAAAACAGACTTATTTACCTCTCTGGGAGACAAAGAAAGCTGGTGTCATGATAAATTAATTACATAAGGAGGGCAAGAGACAGGTGGTGAGGAGAGAGAGAGAGGGAGAGAGAGAGAGAGAGAGAGGGAGAGAGAGAGAGAGAGAGAGGGAGAGAGAGAGAGAGAGAGAGAGAGAGAGAACACAGCAGTAACCCCAATGACAAAAAAAAATGCCTCTTAAAGACTAAAAAACAAATTGGAATTATAGCAAGATAGATGAGGAGTAGGGGGAATTTCAACATATATGTGATACACACACACACACACACACACACACACATTCAATATGTGTCATTTGTAGAAAGCATGAGATAAAGTTGGAAGGTATTTGAAAAATCACTCAGAATCTCAACTTGCAAAAGTAATTAATTAATTACTCTTGGCATGTTGGCATATTTCTTTACTTTTTTTCTGTTTTCCAAAACATAGCCAATATCATACTATTATATTAATCATGCCCTTTCACTGAAAATTATATAAATTAACACTTTCTCATTAAAATTTTGGAAAAGATTTTTGAAACCAAAAATAGTAAGTAAAATAAGCCCAACTCATTTAGTATAGCCACCTTTTATGTGGCAATTTAGCACTTATTCCTAAACTTTCTATAATGGAGAGGTCAGCTTTCAAAATAATTTGCATTTACCAGGTCACAGAAAGATGTAGTCAGAAAAGTTGTTCAAATATCTTTTCCCATACTCCCAACTTCTAAACACTCCTCCCCCCTACACACACACTATCTCTTCTCTCTCAACACACACACACACACACACACACACACACACACACACAATCTTTTCCTTCTCTTTGCACAATCTTTCCTATAAAGCAGATGGTGCTTAAAATTTCCTCGGCCCCTCACAAAGCTGTTCCTCTAGCAACCTTCCCTAAAAGACTGATTTTAAAACAAGCAAAGATGTTCTTTGAATCCCCTGCTAGGCAATCTGGCAGTCCAACCCAAAATGTTTCTAATTAAAAAAAAAAACTTTATGACAAGATAATTTAATCATAGCAGTACTGCAGAGGTTAGGGTGTAGGGTGTTAAAAATAATTCTAAGCTTCTTGTTTTTTAGAAAGAAAATTATTTCTAATGCTATTCAAAAATCTCACTTCATCTCAGGTCTAGCAGATATATTCTTGCCTCTCGTTCTCACAAACCTTGAAACTTAGAAAACAACAGTTCTTTGGCTGTACTTCTGTACACTGATAGGTTATATGTTCCATTAGGAATTGAGGGGTTTGAATCAGGAAGCAGTGATAAGAGAAGGACAGTAGATTATACTGAAACGTGTTGGTCCCACTTTGGACACTGCAGTGGATGTGCCAAAGTTATTTCACTTCTTTGGGTATTGGATGACTTCTCTTTCAAATATGGATTGATTGTGTGCTTGTGAAAATCCTTTGTTAAGTCTGAGCCTCAGTTTCTTTTTTTAATATTAGAATTATAACATTTTACCTACTTTATTGGGTTTTTAAGAGAATTAAGCTATCATGGATAGTATTTTTAATACATGTCATATCATAGATAATAAATGGTTCCGTATATCATGAATGTTTCAAGATCAGAATAGCTGAAGCAGAAAACTAAATGTAATGTGCTAGATGGTAGCAGAGCTTATGTAATAAAACGTACTACTGGGTAAGCCAAGGTAGTTTCCCCTCCTAATGTTTAAATTTAAGAGGGAAAGATAAAAATGTCTTTGCATCTCTTATTTCATTTCAGAGCAGTGACCAACTCTACCCTTCTTTAAAAGTGCCAATATTTGCAGACCAAGTTTTTAATTAATGCTAGGGCCTGAACTCAATAACCAGCCTTTAAGCCTGAAAAGGGTGGAGGAGGGCGGTATTAGAGAGCTAGGCGTGCATTTTGTGTAGTCCTTAAGAATAAGTCTTCCTTTCTCCTGTCCAGCCAACCTTGCACGCAACGCCCACCTCCACTGCGGCACTGGACCTGTGGAGGATGCGGGGTTATTCCAGGAGTAGCCACTAAGGGGAGCCGGACGCTGGACCGCCCTCCCGGTTGCCATAACAACGACACCGGCGGGCGCACGGGCTTTGGAGCTAAGTGCTGGCTAAAGCAGGTGTCGGATTGCAGTGCGCTTGCGGAGGCTCTGGGATTTCTGGTAGCCCAGGAGCCTCTCAGAATCTTGCTACTATTCCTCCGCCTCCGTCCGGGAAAGCTCCCTAACCCAGCGCGGACGCGCAGAGTGAAAATGGTTCACCATTCAGGCTCCATTCAGTCCTTTAAGCAGCAAAAAGGTCAGTGGGAATCTTGCTACCCCCTCCCCGCGGGCGTCACTTCCCCCCTCTGCATGCCCTTGCAGTTGTGTAGGAGCAGCCTCTCCAGGTTTAAGGCAGCACAGAAGTGAGGAACTCTGTGAAGTTAATGATAATTATAATAATGATGATAATAATAAATGTATATTTTAATTGCTTCTTCACTTCACATATTGCTCTGATTTTCTGAGCCTCCCCGCGGTGTCCCGGAGAAACAGGATTTATTTCAGGACTGCTTCAGGGAGTTGCAGTGAGCCCGTTAAGTAGGGGTTGACTGAGTAGCCCTGTACCCTTGTGAGATTTGCAGACAGAAAGGCTGGACGATGTTGCCTCCGTGTGGGATTCAAATGTCTAGTAAGCTTTTCTAAAGCGAGTCTCTACAATTGAAAGGCGTTTCCACAATCCTAGAATAAATGCATCTTGAAGAATTCCTGAAGTTGGCCTGTCCCAGAAGAAGGTGCTCTGTAACTTAACTTGGAAAACTTAATTTTTGTCCCTGTCCCACGCTTGGATGGGTTCAGATTTCCTTGTTAGGTTTCTCTTCTAGTGGCTTGGCATTCCGTTACCTTCAAGTTTCTCCACGAATGCACTGATTAGAGTCTTTATGTTCATAATCAGATCAAGAATTGTTCCAACTTATTTTCACTCTTTGGTTCTTGCTCCTTATTTTGTTTAATAAAAATGCTTTTATATAGAGCACATTTATTTCAAGGCACACTCACAATTTTTTTTGTGTGTATGTGTGTGTGTGTGTGTGTGTGTGTGTGTGTGTGTGTGATTGCCCAGGAGCATTTATTCAAGTAAATAATTACCTTTTACTGAATTAACAATGGTAATTAAGCCACAGTTCACCATGCAGTACCTAATGTGTGCATTTTGGAATAGTAAATTTGTTCATTTAAACTGGTTTTTTTTTAATATATACTTTACTTCTTTTCCCATGTATCATCTTTGTTTCTTTTGTCAACAGTTGTTTCCAAGTAGGTCTTTTACTTTGTTTTTAAACAAAAACTTGTACACATAATTTATAAATAATTCTTGCATAAGACAGAATATTAGTGTGAAAGAGCTCAGAATTCCCTAATTCTATACTGTATCCAAGATCAAGTGTTCTGGGATCTTTCAAATAGATGTTAAATTGGGGCTAATGGGAAACACTGTTGGCATTGATGAAAATTTCAGCTAATATGCAATTAATTTTCAATATAAAATGTTCCAAAAAATTAAATTACTTCAAGAAGTTTTACTCTCTCAACTCTTTAAACACCTACAAATTTGCAGAATTAAGACAGATTTCAGGACCTTTGCAACTGCCTCACACAATTAGTAACCTCCTCTGATGCATGACTATAGGTGACATTTATTTTTCTGGGACCTGGAGTATTAAAATGTCCCCAACAACAACTTCTTGGGGATACATGTTGAGTATTTAAGGAGAAACTGATTGACAGCTTTGGGACCACTGTCATTGCTGAAAGTGGGTGATAAAAAATTATTCAAGTCCTGCCACTTCATATTTTTTGTGATGGATTATGAGCCATTTATTTTCAAGTTTTCTCTTAATCTTTGACACAAAAGGAGACATTAGCAAAATGATAAACATATAGAGGCAAAAGAGTAAGAAAGAAATAAGATTAACTTTTAGCTAAGTGATTTTGATTTATTGCTTCTTAATTTTGCTTGGCATTAGAGAAAGATCAAGTTGAGGATTAGTTATTTTAATTTTTCAAATAGAAAAAAAAAGTGATACTCTGTATGCTTGCTGACCCAGGAGATATGCAACAGAAAACTTTTAGGGTTGCTTGTCACCATAATACTGCACAGTAAAGTGGAGAAAATTTTCCATGGAACTTTGCAGTCCTAAATTTTAGGCTTGCCATTGTAACTACCTGAAAAATATTTAAGAAAATGTTTAAACTTTCTGGGCTTTGGTTCATATATAGTATGAAGGCATTGGACACCTGGACCCATACATATTCATTTCACTTTCTTCTCATGTATGGGAGGCGCAGGTGGCAATATGAAGATAGAGATGATTACTTTCTAAGCTAGATGAAAAGGACAGCCTTATGTTTAGTTCATTTTTAGGAAATAATTATCTGAGTAATCCTATTATAGAGTTTATTTTTATTTTAGTCAAGTGAGTCCAATGCCTTTTTTTCAAAAAAGTATATTTCAATTTTATAGTACTTAGAAATAGCCTGAGATATTTAGAAAACACCATCATGTTAAGATTTTATAATTTTCCACTCTCATTTGGAAACACTACACAAGGCATGGGTGTTTTCTGCTATGTTTGAGAACAATGTAGTAGTAGTCCATTTCTCATCCACATTCCCTTACTGTCACTTCTCAATCTTGTTCCATAAATCAGTTTAGATGCCAGAATCTGTAAAATGAAATGCTATTTGTAAGCCCAAATTTCTCCTTAAGCATAAATGTCCTTATCTGGAGCTCAGCATATTAACTCTGTATATTCTTTTTAAAATGATAATATCTCTAAGTCTCAGTTACTGCTTATTTGAAATAAATATAATAATATATTCCTTTCAGAGATATAATGTTTATTAATGTGGTATGTATTTGAGGCTCAAAAATTAAGTAAATATTTATAATAATTATCATTTCCAGATTCATTTACTTTTTGTCATTTCCTTAGAAGTAAAAAGAACTCTTAGCAGGTCCCTTATAATTTTTTTACTGTCTTTTCTTTTACTCATTTAATTTTATCACTTTGGGATTCATCTTGAAGAAAGCAGTGAACTCCAGTCCATTCCTGTCTTCAGTTGAAGTTACAAACTCTACCCAGTACCCTCAGGGGAAACTTCTGAAAAATTGCCATAGAATAAATTTAAACATACAGTTGAACCTGTTTAAAATTTCATTGCAAGTAAATAGTATTGTTCACTTCACACTCAGCCCACACGTTACCATCTTCATGTTGTATTTATGCTGGGGACTCTGCTTAATGATAGCATTATCCAGAACACTTTCATTCCTGAACCTATCACTGCAAAACCCTTCTGCAGAGAAGGTGGTATGAAAGGAAGTCTATTAGGTTTGTTAGACATCTTTATGAGAATCTTAGTCAACTCTGATTTTCTAAGAAAAATTTAACCCTTTTTTGTTCTGGACAGTGTCATTATGTTTCTGAAGAAAGTATCCACATATAT